GTGTTTACAGGGCTATGTGTATGATAAAACCTGGAGAGCCCGCGGAACCTTAGGTCATGTGATGCGCGCGATACCGGGCGGAGCAAAGCTGATGGAAGGATAATTCAGGGTGAGAAAGCAAATGGTGATACTGGAAAAACTCGCATTGGCTGTTTGTTTTGGAAATGCAAAATTCGAGGGTGACCTTACAATTACGAAACTGCACGAAGGGGTAGCACAAAGAATCAAGACAGACGGAAAGACAGGGGGGGGGGAATGAGGCAGAGAGCATAAACAAAACAAGCGAGCTGCAAAGGAAAAGTGGAAGAAGTGCATCGCTACAGCAAGGCAAAAACCGACTGAAAAGAAGAGGTGGAGCAGAGTTTGAGTGGGCAGACTACACAAACTTCATTACCACCACTCGTAATATTTTATTGAAGTGAATGAATCAAAAATGGGCACTTTGTCGAGAACTTATCAAAATTACAACAAAACAATGAAGCAAAAATGGGCACCTGGCCGAAAGCCTATCAAAATTACAACAAAGCAATCAAAAAACATTGCTGGACATTCAAAAGTGTACACGAGTATTGAATGGTCATGGAGACTCAGAGAGTAACTGCTCAATGTCGGCTGTCATTCCGTTGGGAGACGTCGTTGGTGCGTACCTGAATTCAGGTTCAGTGTAGGGATTACAAATATCAAACATGCAAACAATGCAACTGATCTCCTTGCCCTTGTAGAGAATACGTCATAAGGACTTGAAACTCGGCTCACGGCCAACTGTAAGCTCTTATCTTCAGCTCTTTTCGAATATAAAAAATTTATCACCGAGAATTTCGCACTTAACCAAGTCTCAATTAATTGTAACATGGCTACACCTTTGATTCGATGTGAACAATTCAAGTCAGGCAAACATCCATTGGGCCATTTTCGTTTAAGTTCGGAAGCTTTACAATTCCAGAGCAAATTCAGCGCAATAGCTCTCGAGTCCACATGAGAATACGGAGTGGGGCATAGATATGGTGACAACATTGAACTACAGCAAATGCATTTATTGGACAATGAGCACAGCTCATGACTAAACCTTCGAGTTCGCCATTGCCTTTTGTATATAATTCTATGATTTCATGTTTTAATGGTCATTAATCGGTGAATGGCTCCACTTAATTTGAAACGAAATGAGTCTTCAGCCTAATGCGCTGCTGGGTGCTTTCTTTCCACAATCTACTTATCCGAGGGACACCAGACTCTCCTACAGCTTTCAACTTAGTGCTTATGATGTCTCTCTATATCGGTTGATCGGTTACGGAAGCTAAAGGGTGGCTGTTAATATTGACAAAAAGCGTATCCGCAGCGATTTGAAGAGGACCGTGGTGTAACTGGCTACAGATTCGACATACTGTGAACGACAATCTTTCTCGAATAGGGGAAGGAAAAGCAGAGTTAACGATTTCAGGAGCTTGGGACGCAAGCCGCAATGGAAAATTTTCTCGTACAGACGAGAAAACCTTTGATATTTTTTCGTGGACGATTACCACTGAAGAGATTCAGAGCAAATTACTGTGGTTCAGAAGAAGCTAGCGAAGCAGGGAAATACAGTCATACAATCTCCTAGTTTAGCGATGAACTGAATCGAGTGACCACGAGTTCTTCATCTCACTTAGAATTTACCTGTTGGGTGTAAAATCTTGAGCCGTTAATCAAGATAGCATTTAGGAGAGATCTCCCGTCATCTTTACTACTAATAACGATCAAATCCACTAACGAGGCGGTATGCCGGCTCATGAATTGAATTCTGTGAAAATCTGCTGCAGAGCCGAGTTGTCCGACTTTGGGACACACAAACGTTGGCCAATCAAAACCTCTAAGATTAATATAGCGAATTGCTTATTGTGGTCGGATTGAAGCTGAAGAAGTGCACAAAGCAGCACAGATTGTATGAATCACTACAGCTTTTCTCCAAAAAGTCTTATATCAAGGATGTGTGACGCGGGAAAGGACCAACTGCTGTACGGAAGGGTTTGGAAAAATTTAAAGCGAGGGATTACGATAAGATTGGACTGGGTTCATAGTGGAAGTGGAGATGCTGAATAATGCCCCAGTGGCGAAAAAAGCAAAGAAATCCGTCAAGAAGGCGCAAAATGGGACCCCTTTCTTTGCCCGTTGACCTCCGATAATGGACGAGCTAGCAACCAATTAGGAGGTCGTTTGCACATGTTATGCTGATAGCCTCTATCATTTCAGCAAGCATCATGCTTTGATTGATCACGCATCCCATGAAAAGTTATAGGATACACTCTGGAAGTGGAATATCTCGTCACATTGGCAATCGAAGGGCGCTGCTGCTGGGGGCGGAGCACAGACCGTGGCGGGGCTCAGAAAGGAATGGCAAGCCTTGTACGCTGCAACTAGCGCACCTTTGACCACAAAAACGCAACATTTCGTTTCCTTGGGCCCCTGACTACTGCTTCCAATGGTGCATGTACTTCCACGCTGCATACGCACTTTATCGTAATCTCTCGCTTTAAGGCGGCCATTACGAGCAAGAAATTTCGACAATTGTTCGAAAGGATATGGCCATATTGTTGTACTTGGTATCCCTTGGTATCCCGTTTTGACCTCTCTGTCTCGAGCTGACGCAATTACTTTTTCAGCATATCCATTCCCCACCCTATAGTAATTTGTTGAGTGGGTGTATAATTCTATGACGGTATCGGTTCTTATTTACAATAAATGTGTTGCAGTGTAATATACAGTGTATTAATCAGACCATCCTTGTATAGCATAGCCCTTATTTCGTTGGAAACTAAGAACTGGAAAATCGCCGATCGCTCCGATACATGCTCATTCATACATATATGACAACACTTTCACACCTTCTGACTGTTGGAATCTGACTTCACAGCACTTCACAAAACTCACAATTTCCAAAAAGGTGTAAATCGGACTATGCTGCGCAAAATTTTTTACTTCCCGCCATTGGTTCAGGCCAACCATTAGCCCGCGAAAACAATCGGGGCTAATTTCTCTTCAGGCTCAACAAGGGCTTCTTTTGGAACATCTCTCGTACTATTTGTCAGATCCCAGCCATTATTAAGCAGCACATCGTCTTTCATTAAACTAGAAAGTATACCCGTAAAAATTAGATAGGGCGAATGAAATCACTTATAATTTCAACACTGAAGCTGCGGTGTGCAACTGAATGTGCTAACAAGGAAAGGCTCCCAGGTCGCCATGGCCGTTCAAGAAGAGATGTATACCCTAGATGTCTTCGAACGCTGATCTCAAATCTACCTTCCAAATCTGCTAAACGATTTCTGAACGGAGTTATGAAGCAAAACAGCGCAACGGTAGTGGTCGGGACTCAAAGTCATAAATCGTTTAGCAGATTTGGAAGGTAGATTTGAGATCAGCGTTCGAAAGGCACATCTAGCGGTATACATCTCTTCTTGAATGGCCATGGCGACCTGGGAGCCTTTCCTTGTAAGCTAAAAATTGAAAACTAAACGAGTTTCGCTAGGTTAGTATGATGTCTGTACACCCACCTTTTGACAACGTATCCTTTTCGATTAATCAGAAATTTAGTGAAGTTCCATTTGATCGCATCGACTATCGTTCCACCTTGCTCCTTCTTGAGAAACTGCCAAAATGGGTCAGCGTCCACTCCGTTCACCTTCACCTAAAGCACCAACAAGACTACCCATGACGCTTGTATTCTATTATAGATTCGTGAGAACCGTCCGACACGCCTCTTCTCTATCCCTAGGTGGAATGCTGCTGAAATAGATGAATTCCCCACTTGGGGCGTAATCGGGAATTTCTCCCGCTTTCTTTTCCTTTTCAAGGCCACTCCCTGACTCAACGTCGTCACTGAACACTTTTCCACACCTATTTTATCCCGGGGCTTGCCTTGAAGAGCAAGTACCGTAGCATTCAATTCGGGTTCTCACACGAACTTCTTTTCAAAGCATGCACAAAAACAGGACCCACGCAACTGTGAGCGATACACAATTGCTTGTTTGAGAGATGCATAGACAAGTCACCCATCAAGGTTAGCGCTGGGAGGTGCAGTACTTTCGATTTACGTCACGTGACCAAGCGGTAAATCATAAAAGCATAAAGCTAGGCATATATCCAATCGAATGATAAGCAGATGGCCTCTCCTCCTTCTAGGTAGGGGTTGTGGCAGTATAGCCGATGTTTGGTACAAATTAAGTTAGCATTAGTCGAAGAAAGACGGATAAAAAAATTGTTAAGTGTTATTGTCGTCTGAGGATCCTCTCTCACTGAAAGATCTCTAGCCGGTTGGTGGCGAGGCTACGTGGCGCGACCCCAGGTGGCGGATAGGGGGTAAATCGCGGACCAAAAGCCACCATGTACTTGCCCTGAGACGCAGGTGGATTCAGGGGATGGACTCCCTGTTTCTGTTTGAGCACCGCCCGCTACACGCCGTTTTCGATACTGGAGAAGAACTGTTCCTTGGAACATGCGACAGCAGAAGGCGTTGGCGGTGTGGGTGTCCTCGTCAACACGCACTTGGCCATAAACATCGATTCGTAA